CGGGTCTAGAATAGTTCGCTTGATTTGGCAAAGTAAGAAAGGTAAAAAACACGCAAATTGACCGGTAGGACTTTAGGTGGAACACCTGTAGCCCGATTTATATTATAACGGAGAATGCACGGGTGCTTTTACAAGGGAGTTTAGAGAGAGTGAATTCGAATCCCCCTTTCTGAGGTTTACATGAGTATTTATACTAGGCTAAGGGGACAGGACCACGTGCGCCCACGTGGAGGCACGTGTCTCGGATGTTGAGAGGTGATGGGCCTCGTCTCTTAGCTACCTTGTCGCCTTGTGAGGGGGATTATTCCCTTTGTCAGGTAGTGCCTTGGATGGATTCTTCAGAATCTCCAGTCGTCCTCTACTGACACGGGTCGCTACACGCCAAGCCCTCGTAGATTCTCCTCTGCCGACACTTTCCAACCTCAGAAACTACACCGGGTAATCTCCGAGAGGTGAATTCATCGAAGTCTGGAATAAATAGGATGATAACATAATTTGACCTGTATACTTTTTTGTGAAGTGTACCGGTCCAATTTTGGTCGATGACATATCGTTTTGCTGACGATTTAAGTCTCCCTTCCAAAACTTTCGAGATTGACCGGTCAAAGATTTGTCCTCCTCCTTTGACCGGTCTTGGGTGAAATACACCCATCAATAATAATGTTCTCAAACTATTCTACGTGTAAGGCCAATTCCAAATTCATATTGATCACAATTCACAAAGCTCTTAAACTATTCTTAGTCTAAGGTAAAACGCAAAATCATGACCTATTCTCTAAATCTTATAGGTCATGCTCAAATAACCGAACAACGAACTACTCACAATCAGGTTGGTGGTATCTCCAAACGAGTTATCCTTTAGTTTAGTTTGTAGATCCCATACATACGTTTTTACCCAGACCACCAAACATCATACCTGCAAGACCCAAACTAATTAAGTCATATGAGGTATATCTTAGAGTTCTTCTAAATAGCCTTAATCGTTCATGATCATTATTTAAAACATGACATTATTTTAATCAAGGTTAATTCATCATAATTAACAATCAATAACAATCATCATAATATTTAATAACAAACAGCAGCCTAACATCGAGTGTTAACACTCTAGCTTACCGTCATGCATCAAATAAGAATCTTAAGTTTATCAAAACATCGTATTTAGTTTATAAATGATATTCATACTGATTTATAATTGAATGTTTTAAAAATAAGATTTTACAGCTCAAAAATCAGATTTGTGAAAAAATCTCTGAGTGAGACGGTACCTATCTCGGTACTAGGGTACCGTCACAGTACCTTAGTACCGTCCAAGCGGTATAGGGTACCGCCTGGTATCAGGTACTGTAAGAGAAATTTGGCTCGTGAAGGTAGCTAGCTAGCTACCGTCACTGACGGTATGGCCTATCGTTCAGGCGGTATCTTCACATCGTCTGGATGGTATCTAGGTGTTGTTTTTGTGGGAGTTTTGTATAATGTCGTCATCAACCTTGGTCTAAACTTCTAAAACACCCCTTTAAGCTTTTAAACTTCATTTCAACTTTATAAAAATATTCTCTAACATCCATAGACCATTTTTTAAATAAATATTTCAAAGGTTTAACAACAATTTGAAGGTTTATGATTCTTAGTTCATCAAAAATACAATTTTTCATTTTTATAGCACATAACTCAACTAAATAATCGTTTATGAACGCTAAAGTGATCTATATGAATATTTTAATCACTAGATATATCTAAGGGCTTACCTCAGGCTCAAATGGATGTTTTGAAAATTTTTGGCAAAACTTCCACCGAACACCACAGCTTCCTCCAGTGACCTCACACTCTTTGGGCAACACCACTGCACTCCTCTCTTAGCAAAGAACATAATGGAAGAAGAAGGGAAGAATTTAGTGAAAAATGGGAGAATTGAGGTAGCCTTATATAGCAAGAGGAGAAGGGAAGATGCCAAACAGTGTGACGATCGATCGACGATAGTGGGAGGGATGAAGATTCAGTCCGATTCCTATGACACTTCTTTTATTGAACTTAAATGGTTCCAGTCGGGGTACAGTTTTTGGTTCATTTTTCTCCGAATTACAACTTAATGGTACTGTTGTGATCAGACAGTCAAACTCTTCAGAATGATATAATTGTCACAATTAATTGACAGACTTTACAAATCACTTGTTTTTAGGTCCATCTGAGTAATTAATTTATTATCAATTAATTAATTTCGGTATGCCTATTTTCGGGTGTTACATTTCTCTTCTCTTTAAAATAATTTTGTGCTTGAAATTACCTGAGTCACTGCTTGAAGAGATTCGGATATTGAGTCTTCATTGACTCTTCAGTCTCCCAAGTAGGTTCTCCAGTAGAATGATTCCTCCAAAGTATTTTGACTTGTGGGACAAACTTGTTTCTGATTTCTTTTATTTCACGTGCCAAAATATGAACAGGTTCCTTTTCATAGGTCAGACATTCATCAAGAGTTACACTTCCATCACGCAGTACGTGTGATGGGTTTGAACGATAACGTTTCAGCATGGAGACATAGAATACATCGTGGATCTTTTTCAACTCTGGTAGAAGTTCCCACCGATAGGCTACTGGTTGTCCCACACGTTCAGTAACTCAATAGGGTCTAATATACCTTGGGCTCAGTTTTCCCTTCCTTCCAAATCGTAGTACCTTCTTCCATGGTGAAACTTTTAGAAACATCATGTCGTCCATGTTGTATTCAATCTCACGACCTCTAGCATTGCTATGACAAGAAAGATAAAAAAATATTCATGAAAAGATGTCCATAAAAGAAAAATTAAGAGCATAATCCTTTACTATAATATTTGAAACTCACTTCATGAGAATTTGATAAGTGGACAACACATTGGGGTATTTTTTGACATGTCAACATGCCATGTAATTTATGGAGTATGAGTTGCTAATTAATTCTTTGCCTTAACAAAAATCTACTTCGTATTTTTTTGCCATATTTAAAGCTAATTTTGGAGTTCACACGTTATAAAACTCAAGTTTAAGTACTCTGTGTAATTTATTGCATTAAGCAATTTTATTAATTTTAACCTAATGATTTTGGTAATTCTTACTTTATGTAATTTTAGTAATTTTTTATCCAATCTTCTTGCCTTATGTGATTTTAGTTATTCTCACCAAAGATAGTTTACATTTTTACACATTATTTACAATAAAAAATTATAGAACATAAAAAAAGTATGGCTTCAAACAAAAGGGAAAAACACCTTGGCAAAAAAGAATCAATTAGTGAACAATCAAATAAATTTATTTTCCAAAAAAAAATTATAGTCACATTTGATATATTTTACAAAAAAGTCTAAAAAATAATCACGTAAAAATAATCACATGTATTTTATACCTGAAAATTATTGCACTTGACATGAACTTATTTTGTTTAAAAAAATAAATATAGTTGCATGGGTTGTTACAAATAAAAATTCAAACAAAATGAAAAATAGTTGTTGTAATTTTAATATAGTTCAAGAGTAAAATACATAAGATTATTTTTTTACATAAAAAAATCACATGTATTTTAGTCTTGAACTATATTGAAATTACAATTATTATGTGTGTGTGTGTGTGTATAGTACAATTTTCATTAACAAATATTATATGTTTCATCACTATTTTAACTTAGGTCAATGTTTTACGTTGTTCCATATTCAAAAACTATTGTAGCGAAGAAAAATTGCAAAAATGAAAAAAAATATTTCACCCGTGCCACATATTAAAATACTAGTGTTCAAAAAACGAAAAGACTAAGGGGCTGTTTGTTTCCGCCTCTTAATGGTTCAGATGTCTGAATGGTTCAGCACTTAATGGTTCAGACTGTTTGTTTCAGCCTCTTAATAGTTCAGATGTCTGAATGGTTAAGTATTATACAGAGTCTGAATGGTTAAGACCTCTTATCTTAATTGATCAGACATTTGCCTCTGAATAATTAAGCAATATATTACTCCCTCCGTCCCCCTAAGATGTTCTCATTTTGACTTTTGGTGGCTTTTAAGGAGAGTTGAAAAAAGGTGAAAGTTTACCATAATACCTTTAATGAAAATGGGTGGAGTGTATTAAATGTGGTGGGTGAGGTGTAATAAATAAAGTAAGTCAGGGTAGTTGTGGTATTTTGATTGTTAAAAAATGAAATAAGAAGATCTATTGTGGACAAAGAAAAAAGACTATTGGGAAGATCTATGAGGGACGGAGGGAGTATCTCTTAATGGTTTAGACATCTTACTGGTTCAGCACTTAATGATTCAGACCTCTTACTGGTTCAATACTTACCTATTTAGAAGTTGTCAAACAGCCCCTAAATATAGGGACTACAACCTCTTCTTTACATCTTAGTTTTTTTAGATGGACTAATTTGACAAAAATATGGCCGTTGGACCGTTGCTCTATTTAAACAGACATCTATTCCTTTCCCATTAACGTCTCTCTGTAAAAAAGAAAAAAGAAAAGAAAAGAAAAGCTCGAATCAGTTCTTCGAGTCCTTCTCCGGCAAGAACAGAAATGTCAAATTCAAGATCAAGCCTTCTTCCATCTTCTCCGCCATCAACCACCACCAGCAGCAGCGCCGCGAGCAGCGATTCCGACGAAAGCCCGCCGTCCCGGCCTTCATCGGCGGCCGACGAGTGCCGCCATTTCAAGAATCATCCAAGACCACCGCCGCCGGCCGAACCACCGTCGTTGTCGTCGTACAAGTGCCTGGCGGTCTTATCGGGGCACGCGGGATCGGTGTCCTGCATTTCCCTGTGCGGGGAGTTCATCCTCAGCGCATCCCAGGGGAAGGACATCACGGTGTGGCAGCAGCCCGATCTGCGGCCGTTCGCCAGGTTCGGGCAGGGGGACGGGTCGGTGAAGGCGGTGTTGACGGTGGGGAACAGAGTGTTCACGGCGCACCAGGACAGCAGGATCAGGGTGTGGAAGGTTTCTTCTTCTTCTTCTTCTCCCTCGTCGGAGTCCGGGAAGGAGGAGGAGAACGCTTTCCGGCTGGTGAACAGTCTTCCGACGAGGAAAGATTATCTGGGCAGGTTCTTGAAGCAGAGTAACTATGTCCAGACCAGAAGGCATCACAAGAAGCTCTGGATCGAACACGCCGATAGCATCTCTTGTTTGGCTGCTCACAATGGCTTCCTCTTTTCAGGCAATTCTATTTAATTCATTCTTGACACACTCCCTAGGTTTTAATCTTATTAATTTCTACCTAAATTAAAATTACTCTGTATCTTAATTGCATAAAACAAAATAAATCTATGAATATCATTCTTTTATCAATAATCTAATATAAATTTTATTTAATCAATGCTTAAAATTTAACCGTTTTGAATTCAAAAGGTCAAAACTTATCAAATATTCTGGGACGAAAGTAGTACTCAGTAATCAGCATTCCATAGTCTTTTCGTTCAAAATGTTTAATAAGTGTCATGACTGTCACCTTTTTAGATTGTTTTTTACGCCGCATTTCTTTTGACATTATATATCAATATAACATCCAGTATCTAGAAATGGTTCCTACCCTCTAATCTCACTTCCCTACTTAGCTCCCCTATCCGTTTCAATTTAGTCTATTTACTGTAGAATGTAGAGCGGATAGGGGTTTGGGAAATAGGAACCACTTTCGGATCCAACGGAGAGCCGTGTAGGTGCCCCAAATGGACCGAAGTCATACTATGATATTTGGTTATAATATCAAAGGAACCGTGTCTGTTTTTTTAATAGTAAGGATTCACTTTGAGAACGCTAAAGGTAAACGTGCATGACATTTTCAGGTTCTTGGGACAAGACGCTCAAGGTGTGGAGGGTATCCGACTTGAAGTGTCTGGAGTCGATCATGGCGCACGACGACGCGATAAACGCGCTGCAGGTCGCGTCGGACGGGACCCTCTACTCGGCTTCCGCGGACGGGAAGATCAAATCCTGGAGAAGAGAAGGAGCCAAACACGCCCTGAATGGGGTTTTGGAAGGGCACAAAGATGTTTCATTGAATGCAATGGTGGTGGTTTCAGGTGGTGGTTTTGTGTATGGGGCAGGGTCAGATGGGTATGTGATAGGGTGGGGGCAAAACAGTCATAATAATAGTAATAAGAAGAGGGTGGTTTGTGAGGTGAAGGCACATGAAATGTCTGTTTTGTCCCTGTGTGTCATGGGGGGGTTCCTGTGCAGTGGCTCAGCTGATAGGAGCATTGGGATATGGAAGGTGGGAGGGGATGGAGGGCTTTTTAGGGTAGGAATTATTAAGGGACATGAAGGGGGTGTTAGATGTTTGCAGGCCTCCCCTGTTTGTGTTGGGGGTGGCTTTATGCTGTACAGTGGGAGTCTTGATAGGACCCTTAGGGTATGGTGGGTCCCAAACTACTGCCCTTCTGGAGGGTCTACGCAGAAAGTTTGTGTGAGTCAAAGTGTTGACTCCCACAATCCCATACAGAAGAAGAACTACTGTCCTTGGAAGATTTTTGATGCTGTGGAGAGTACATAATTGTGGTTTCATATGTATTGCATGTGCTCACATTTGTTTGTTTTTTTACTCGTGTGTTGATTTTTTTTATTCTTGGTTTTTTTTTCATGATTTGTTTTGTACCTAATGCATTGTAACTTGTACCTAAGTGATTTTGACATTAAGGAATGTCTTGTTCTTTGTTATCTCTTCCTTCAAAAGTACTCCCTTCGTCTTAAAAAGAATGGGACGGTTTGACTTTTTGGAAAATTAAGGGAGAGATATTTTGGTATTGACTTTCCAAAAATATCCTTGATGTGATGGGTAAAAATAGGATGTGATGGGTAGATTATTAGAAAAAAGGTATGATGTGATAGGTAGGGTATGAAAAAGTAAGGGTAAATGTAGTTTTTTAATAGAAATGTAACGGACTTTACGGGACGCGGTTTTTTCTAAACGTAAAAAACTTTTTGGGACGGAGGGAGTAGTTAATATGTTTCACTTTTAGGGTTTGTCTTTTCGGATCTAATTATAATTATATTTAAAATTGTTTTTGATTTATTTTGATCTCAAAAAATATATATTGAAGAGAACAAGTTCTTAGTGTATCTTCCCCCCCTTTCAAAAATATGACAAAATGGTCAATTTGGCATGGGTACTTGAATTAGCATTAGCACCCTAAGAGTACTGGAAATGCGTTTAAATACCTTTATTTTTAACACAACAAACACCCACAACATATTCTCATTATCTCTATAATTTCTCTAAAATATATTCTATTTCGTTTAATTCTCTCTACAAAATATTCAAAAAATAGGATTATAATCTGACTTTGCAAGAAGAGCTCTCATTTTTCGTTGTTTCGCGACATGTTGTTCAACAAGACCAACAAGAAGAAATAGAATTGTCCCGACGCCCGACTCGACGTGAGCATTTAAACCGTGATCAGGCGGCTTCACGTACTTCACTACTTAACGACTTCTTCACTATTCAGTGTGTTTACACACCGGAGGATTTTAGTAATCGTTTTCGGATGAGTCGTTCTCTTTTTTTATGCATACTCGCCGATATTGAACGTCATGTGCCTTGGTTCATCCAACGCTTTTATGCGAGAGACCAGCGTGGTTTTAATAGTGTCCAGAAGCGCACCGCCACGATTCGTTAAATGGCATAGAAGACGACATCTGATATGTTTGACGAATATTTGAAGATGTCATCTCGGAGCATCGAATCATGTGTTTATAAATTTTCTAAATTTATTATTCAACTTTATCATAAAAGGTATTTATGTAAGCCGACAACGAGCAACATTGAGCAATTATAGGCTAGGTGTGCCGCTAAACACGGATTTGTCGACATGCTTGGGAGCATCGATTGCACGCATTTGGAATGAAAAAATTGTCCTACTGTGTGGCATGGTCAGTTCTCCCAGGGTGATCATCTCAAGCATACTATCATGCTCGAAGTTGTGACTTCTTAATGACTTGTGATCTTGACACGCATTTTTTGGTGTTGTGGGCTCGAACAATGGCATCAATCTGGACCAATCGCCCGTTTTTTACGGTTGGACTAATGAGACTGCACTCGGCTCGTCTTTTGAGCTTAGAGGGATGCTTTACGAGCATGGATATTATCTTGCTGATTGAATATATCTGGGTTATTCCATGATTGTTAAGTCTCTCTCCGAACTAAGGGGTCTTAAACGCCAGACCTACAAAATAGCTCATTAGGTGTCAAGAAAAGATATCGAACGAACCTTTAGGGTGTTGAAGAGTAAGTGGCACATTCTAGATCGTCCGTCCAAATGTTATTCTTAAACGGAAATGACGAATATCATATACGCATGTATTGTTCTTTATAATATGATCATAGAGGTTAACGGGTTTGCAATTTGTCAATATAATTATTTCATTTATTTTGGAATGGATGACTATTTGAATAAACAGAAAACACATATTGTGGGAACTTTGACAGATTTAACTTGTTTTTACCGTTTGTTTTTACCATAGGTTGGAATTTGAAAAGCACTGGTCACCAGACCACTTGTTTATAGTACTTTTATGGAATAGGCCGGTCAGCTATCCCACAAACATTACTAACATTTTGCATTTGCTTTTCCTTTCTTCCCCCTTTTTGAAAAGAAAAATTCACAACCTAGATATTAATTTAAAGAAAAGATAAATGAAACTTTAATTTAAACTGATCATTATGGTACATAAGGGAATCTAATGTTTAACATAATCATCATTTATCAACATTATCAGAGTCATGATAAAATCTTTTTAATGGCAAATGTCATTTACTCCCTCCGTCATATAATGTTCTTCCCGGTTCATTTTACGAAGTTTGACCGACTTTATTTTCAATTCAATTTATTTGATCGTAAGTGTAAAATTAAAAAATAAAATTTATATATTTAAAAACTACATCAAAAGTTCTACAAAACAAATGGTGACAAGATTAAATTATTTTATCAAATACCTAATGAAAATAGGTAAAGAAACTGATAAAAGTTTGACCGTGTAAAAAGTGAGTGGGAAGAACATTATAGGACGGAGGGAATAACTTATTATACGAAAAAGTGAGAAGCGCACCATATATAAAATCACTTTTAACATCATTGTCTCATAAACACACAAGTCAAAGCGAAAATGTGTGTGTGTTCGTGAGACATGACGATGTCAAAAGTATGCCATATGTGATGTGCCTCTAGCATGCTTGCTTTTTAATTATTCCCTTCGTCCCAATTTAAATCGTCTTTTGTTGTTTATGAAATTTGAATGAATTTATTTTCAATTTAATTTATATGAAATTAGTATGCAATTAAAAAAATAAAATGTATATATTTAAAAACTATATCAAAAGTTCAACTCTCACCCTAATTTTTTGCACACCTCATAAAATACTTTTACTTCTACCTAAAATGTCTAAAATGCATCCCATTATATAGTTTATTTCGGACATAAGTTGTTTTGAAATAGTTTATAAATTTTAGGTAGAATAAAAACATTTTAAGGGGTGCACAAAAAGTTAAGGCAGAAGTGTTTTCCAAAACGGAGAGAGTATAGAACAAGAGTTGACAAAATTATATTATTTCCTCAAATGAGTAACAAAAATGTGTAAAGAACATGGTTAAAATTTATTTCATATGTTTGTTTTACCTATAGTCTATATCAACCACTTCATTAAACTTCTCTTAATCTATGTCACATTTCTTATTGTACAAAAAAATAGGTGAACAAAAGGGGCAATTTTATACCGTGAAAGAAGGGATTTAAGCTAGAAATGGATGTCTTGAGTGGAACTTCAAAAAAAAATGTCCCTTTTGTACTTTATTTTTTCTTGAAGCAATGTCATGTGTAATGGACCAAATTTGGGTCATCTCATAACCGTTTGAGGTCCTTATTTGGTACTAGGCTGATTTTGGATGCTTTCAAAAGCAATATTGTACCATTCAAAAATGTTCACTAAAAGGGGGAAAAAAAGAACAAAAAGTCAAGTTTTGATCCAATTCTCTATAGACCACAGAAAGCTCACAAAAGAAAAAAAAGCAAACTAGAAACCAACTTTCTTTTTCCTCGAAAATAAAATCTTAGATATCACTTTTTATGCTCCAAAAATAGTCCTTTTTCGAATAACATGTAAAATCATATATATTTCAAAATAATTTTTATACAAATTGTTATAGATATTAAAAAATATAATTTACATATTAAAAAAATACATCAAATGATATGCAGCAGAAGTAATGACATAACTATTTTATTTTATCAATACTCAACAAAAATGCATCCGCAAATAAAAATCAAAAACTTGTAATAATAAATAGACCAATTTCTTTAGAGACGGAGGAAGTAAAAGACGTTTGGTGAAAAAAATCATTTCAGGTTATAAAATCTAAAGATATGAAATGTTTCTAAAAATACAGGCACTGTCAAAGCCGCTTTCGGAGCCGATCTATTTTTTGAATTTTCTAGTACATATTTTCAACCATATTTTTAAAATTATTGTACTCCGTATCAAATAGTAGTAGTTTTATGAATTTATCAATCATTATCAAACTATTACCTTTCGTATTTTTTGTCGAAGTGTTAAAAAACATTTATCAAATTGTATTTTTTTTTGAAATTATTATCAATTCATATTTTTATTTTTGTACTCGTAATTTGGGGTAGAGAAGGTCATTTACGAGTGAACATTGTCCAATATCTTTGTTTCATTTTTTTAACTGCTTACCAAATAACAGTGATTGTGATTTAATTTAATTTATGTTTTCTCCCAACACTACAAATCATATCATTTCTTCTAAATTTCAACTCATATCTTATCATATCTTTAAAATTCACCAAACACAATCTAAAATTAAAAAAGGAGAGAATAGAAACTAAGATAAAGTAAACATAAAAATCAGACTAAAATCCCCTAACAGTGGGAAAGAAGACGCGTTGTTAGGATTTAAGATTCGGTATATGTTGTCTAATTGAACAAGACACTTGAATCGAATCATACTAAAACAAATTTCACACATTATTAATTCATTATTTTTCCATTGAAAAGTTTGGTGTGGCACATAGCTACCACTCCTCTCTACTGAACACTCAGACCATCTTGACTGAACACTCCTTGCCCTAAAACAAATACTCCTTCCGTTCCCAAAAGATTACCACAATTTAATTTTTTAGTCAAATTGTTATACCCTTTGATTGCGAATTATGGAAAAAGTATAATTAATTATAATGTAAATTTAGTAAAATTGAGTCTATTTTACAAATATAATTTTGAAATACTCCCTCCGTCCCCCATAGATCTTCCCAATAGCCTTTTTTCTTTGTCCACAATAGATCTTCTCATTTCATTTTTTAACAATTAAAATACCACAACTACACCCACTTACTTTATTTATTACACCTCACCCACCTCATTTAATACACTCCACCCAATTTCATTAAGGGTATTATGGTAAACTTTTACCTTTTTTCAACTCTCCTTAAAAACCACCAAAAGTCAAAATGAGAACATCTTAGGTGGACGGAGGGAGTATCAATTTTTTATAATATTTAATTATTTTAAACTATATTTTATTTGTGATCAAAAGGTGCCAGAGTTTGGCCAGAAAAGTCAAATTGTGGCTATCTTTTAAGGGCGGGAAGAGTATTTGAAATGCAGCAATAACTCTTGAGGGATCATGGGCTGCTTGGTATAGACTTCAAAGACAAGTGCAGGATCCATGTTCTATTAAAGCGCTCACAAATCACTCCAGTAAACACCAAATGAGTTATTGTTGTACTCAAA